GTAACTGAATCTCTTGGTAAAGCATACAAACATCTGTATGTGGTAACTGTATTAAAAAAATCATTACCTCAGACAACAGTTGATAGCATAAAAGATTTCAAAGCACTTCCTACCCTAGACTTTAAGATAAATATATGATGATAGTATGTTAGGGGTCTGCCAGGCTGTGGTATGATGCTCGCATACTTCAACTGTAACTAATATACTTATCTGTTTAGCCTCAACTTCTTCTGGCGGGGAAGAAATAACTTATCACCCGGAAAGTTCATTGGAGAAGGAGTGGGAGGTTTGAACTGACCAATCAAAAATGAGCTGTAACACCATAGTGACGTCATCAGTGAGGCCTGACCTTATCAGAAGTGAGCTATGACATCACATAACGTATATAACCTTTCAGATGTCAGTTCTAACGCCATCTAGCCCACCAGAAGTGAAATGCAGGATCACCCGGCACCAACTGGCACATCAGATAATAAGATCCGACGCTTCAGACATCAAATTGCCAATTTAGAAGGAGTTGTGACGTCATAAGACCCCCAGGTGATCGGCATCACTCCCCGCCCCTGACCCGTGAAACAAGTGAATCATAATCTGCGTCGAGCGAGAATCAAAACAAAGGATCCGCTCAGTTTGTATAACTTGTATAGCTTACCATTAAATACTCCCGAGTCTACACCATCAACAGCGACGGTGGTGTGAGTAATTATAGTCTGTATCAATAGTTAACATTGAATGTCTTTCATTGTACTTGACTTTAGAACATTGTTTAAAGAGGATCAGTGTGTGACGTCATAGCGTCGTAGAAGGTATATAACGAATAATCCGTTACATAGAACGCCACTGTATCAGTAACGCGTTATGTGCATCACTTTGTTACCTGTAGCACTCCTTAGAGGCCCTGAGTTACCACCTTAGGGTTGTGTTGTGTAGTAGATCTGTTGTTATAATGCTCTTTTATTTTAAGTTATATGTAAAGCAATACCTTGTAGTGTCTATTATTGTTTTTATTAGCACAGGGTAAAACCTCTCTTCCTTTGACATGTTAAGGTTACAGACGAGTTGTGGAGATGGTGTTGGAAGTGTGAAAGTCAAGAAAATACAAATAGACGTTGGGAATATCACTCTTAACACATGTAGAAACACGGTTCAAGAGTAAAGCTCCCCAATGTGTGTTTCAACCTTAACCAATCTACCTTCTGTCTAAATGTGCCATACTGTGGTTTGCTGGTGAGGATGGAGTTGCTGGGGATTCGAACCTACTATGTGAACTATATGGGTTGAACGTCAACAAAAAGACAGCCCAGTAATGGAGTGTGAATGGTAACTAATATATATATATATATATATATATATATATATATATATATATATATATATATATATATATATATATATATATATATATATATATATATATATATATATATATATATAGAAGCGGGTTCGAATCTCACTCCAAAGACCCAGTACGAATAAACTTTCCGTGATGGTCTGACTCTCACCTATGCACCGCTTTTATATTGCAGTGACGGTGTAGTGAAAGTGTAGTGACATTGTAGTGAAGGGGTAGTAACGGTGCAGTGACGGTGTAGTAAAGGTGTAGTAACGGTGAAGTAACGGTGTAGTGACGTTGTAGTAACGGTGTAGCGACGGTGTAGTGAAGGTGCAGTAACAGTGCAGTAACGGTGTAGTGACGGTGTAGCAACGGTGTAGTGACGGTGTTCTTTTTTCCTGCTGTTGTCCTCTGCCACTGTACACGTGAAGGATAAACTCTTCACTGTATGTTGATGGATCGAATCTAATTTGTTTTTCTCACTGAGGAGGATCGCCGAGTTTTTTCTTTCTGGTCTCTGGTGATGATATGATCGAGTCCCATTCTTCCTTCTACGTGAGTCACGGTTATGGGAAAATTAGAGATGGGTGATTCTGAAACATTTCCTTATTTTTGTTGTTTGTTGTTGTTGTGTAGTGGGGTCAATAGGGTGGGCTGTGTGGTGGGTCGCTCGGATGGGTTGTAGGGCTTGAATATTATATGATTTTTGGACGATGTTTACAATTTTTGGTTCTTTAGTTTATATAAACAAGTGTATCACATATAAATAAGTGACTCAAGTAAAGTAAGCTGCATGGAGTCTGGTGTGTGACCAACGTGTAAATAAAGTCCTCTTAAAGTTTATGTGAAGGCGTTTTATTAACCTGTTTGAGGGTCGCCTCTCTCTGCTAGCGTCTTGGCCTGAGGGTGCATATGGTGGAGGGAGAAAGGGTGGGCGCCTCCACCCTTCGATCAGCTGTAGTCGATGGCTGGTGAGTTCCTTCAGTATGTGCCACGGAGAACCAGAAAAGGTGAGGCAGCAGCTACAGGTCGTCCTTCATCGGTGTTTGGCCTCAACATGGTGGGGCTCCTTGGTCGGTGGCTTCCGCTGATGGAGGGACGTCTTTCCATAGCTTGGCCTCCCTCCATTACCCGTTGCACCTCAGGTTCTAGGTGGGTTTCCTGGGCCGCCGTACCTGTATCAAGTGCTGCACCACATGTGTAGCTGATCATAATAGAGATGGTGGCTGAGTGGATACAGTACTCGCCTCCTGTCATTGGGGTCGCGGTTTCAATCCCAGGGCCTCCCAGTAAACCCACCTGTAAATGGGTACATAATTACAGGTTGGTGAAGTGATCGAGTGCTTGAATTTTACCTCTTTATGTACTGATGGCTTTTCTCTCTTCTCTATCTATATATCTCCCCTCGCTTTCTTTCTCTCTCCTTCCTTCTCATATCTCTTTATCTATAGATCTTCCTCTCTCTATATATATCTTTCTCGTCATGGATGGCCATAGAGAAAACGAATTATCCAAGTTTAAAGAAAATGTAAATGCTAATATAAACACTGAAAAAAACCCGAATCATCAAGGTTTAAAGAAGACGAGATATCCTGTATTACTTGTTATATGTTTATTTATTATAAGATGGGTGTGTTGACAGTATCTATAACTTATTGTCATGAAGTATGACTCAAGCTGAAGGACAGTTGTCATGAGTCTTACGTAAGTTTGTCATCAAATTCACTTATTAAGAATTTCCTAATTTGTCATGGATTTTTCCCTTATTTGTCAAGAGTTTCTTATAATTTTAATATATTTTTTTTTATGTTTCTGTCATATATTTTGTCATTGTCACTGTTATTATCATTAATTTTCCCTAATTTTCGTCATATTTTCCTTACAGCGGTCAAGAAACTGACCCTAATCATCAGTAATTATCACATATTTTCTCCTAAGGTATCATAAGTGAAGCGATGATCATAAACCAACTTATCTTCAACAATTTTCATAGTCACCCATAAATTATATTAATTATCGTAAGTGTAAAGTAATTATTATAAGACTCGAGGGATTATCACAAATTATGATAATCAATATCTGGCAGTTATCATGAGTCTCCGGTAATTATGATTAAGTTACGTAACTATTATAATTTTCTTTTAGTAATTATCATCGTTCTGAGTAATTATTAACATTCTCAATCTTAGTATAATTTGTAACTATTATTATTAATCTGAAGGAATGAACATAAACCCAGAGTAATTATCACCAATCTCAATAAATCATCATCAGTACTTGAACTTGGTAATTATCGTGTCGTAATTATAAGCATACGTCTAACAGTCGTATATATAGTAGGGTTCCGTAGAGAGCTATAGTGAGCGAGGCGAGTGAACTAGAGTAATACTGTAATATAATATACTTGACATATATACCTACAGCATCTTTCACAAACACGCTAAGCTTAATACTATCAAGGCAAGATGCTATTTTCAAGGCAAATTGGGTAACTAATAGCGTATGATATGGCTGTAATTGTGTTTCTTAGCATACTCGACAGTATGTTCTCTTCTTTACATCTTATAACCTATTTTGATGTTCTTCCTTACATGCACTTTGATATTGTTAAGGTTAATATGATCAGATTAATATCGAGGGGAAAAATATATCTGTATTCGAATCTTACTTAAGTTTAGTCTAAAATAAATATATTTTCTTTGATATGGACGATTTTCTTTGACATAGAAAAATCGGAGTTTTTATGATATGTAGAGATATTGCCCACGTTAGTCCTTTAATTATAAGCGAGTTTAAAATTAACCTTTCTTATCAAAACGTCGATATGTGTATGTGTATTTCTCTTTTGATTGGACGAAGGTTAGTGGTAGATAACACTATAAAGATGTGAACGTTAGCGATGCGTCTAACTACCTAGCCTGGGCAGCAGATTGACTTCACCTAAAACTATTAGGAAGAGAGATGCAAAAAGGGAGGTTTTAATCGCTATCTGACAACCTCTCCCTTTGAGGAAAACGTATTTCTCCAACTAACTGTTCTTCCGGACTCCAAATTACCCCCAAAGTGGCAGTTTTGATATCCTAATTGTGGACTAATATCAATTAAGGCATAGTGATATGTAGAACCGGGGCAGCGTCTTCCCCACACCACAGTTGTAGAAGAATGCGTTTAGAACAAAAAGCCTTGACGAATAGGGTTCGTTCCTTATCTTCACGTTGACAACAGAGCAGCCCGCTGATTGCCTTCAAGGATCAACTTCCGAACTGTCCGTTTTATAAGTTAGCGTAAGCAGAGGAAGCTCAAGGAAATGTACGGCCGCAGACATTAAAATATACACATAATTTTTTTTCGAAGTACCAACTATGAAACTGTGAGGGAGGTTGTCCACTCTTAATCACCAGATGCGCATCACTTGACGAGTATTAACACAGTCTAACAGGGACAGACTTGTTTTGACGAAGTTTGAGAAATGGTCGACCAACTAAATCATGATGGCTAGCCCTTCCTTATCTCTGGCATGGCGGAGGTAAACATAACCTCAAACATTCACACTAACATTCACACTAACATTCACTTCAGTTGTGCAACAAAGAAGAAAACTAAATTACTAAACTGTCAAGTAGAAATAGCTAATTCCGTAAACTGCCAAAAGAAGAAATTTCAACTACCCGACCAGGAGGAAACAAAACTTGTTCACCAGTATTGGTCAAGACACGGAGGCAAGAGGATATCGTTGTCGCAGTGTATATCGATTGTTTCAACAACCTACAAGTGTTTGTTCCTAGTGTTAAAACTATATATTATAACTCAGACATACCCCCAGACTTTAGTGAATCACTGACAGTGTGAATAGTGTTAAAACGTAAATAAGAATATGTGTTGGGTGGCAATGTTTTCAAGGCGTAACATGGCGTTGACATTGTTATGGTTTTCAGGTAAGTGGCCCTAAAGTACCCTAGTCTGTTAGAAAATTCTAATTTTCTGACTAGATAATATGATCATGAATTCAATCCTTACACAAGATTCCTGTGTTTGAAGCGTACCATTTTGTCATTATAAAGGCCGATGTATTGTACAATCATGAAAAAAAAGTCACGTTCTTCCTCCGCCTCGTCCATGAACCATGAGATTCATATTGTTGGGCCCATAGATGGCGCACTGGGTCATGTCATGTCTCGGATTCACAGGTTCATGAGTCTCAGGGTTCATGGATGGGACGGGGGGCAGACAGAATTTTTTTTGTGACTGTACCTGGATTCTAATGTTTATTTGAACAAGGATTTTATTATTAATATTGAAAACATAAGCCCGTACATGCTGTAACAAAAAAATTTACCCAGTGATTCGATGGTTCTATTTTTTCTAGAACTCGATTATAAGCTTTTGAAAGTGAGATTTGAATAATTAGTTGGAATATAAAACTCAATCATCGACATTTTAAATTAGGATTTAACTCGCGGATTCGATTCTGAAGCTTTATACTGTATCATAATATTGTATCACTCTCACAGACTCACTCTCACTCGCTAGCCACCATAAAGAACATGCAAGCGAAATTTGTTTTAGAAATTTGTGTGTTCTTCTAAGAGTAAAAGTATCTTAATATTGAGTAAAAGATCAAATGTGTCGGTTTTTTCACCACAAGGCGTTGACGGGACTTAGGCATCACAGCTGAGTATCAGAACTTGTCGGATCAGTCTCCCCTCCCCTCCCTCAAGCCAGGCCAAGGCGGAACTGTAGAATGTCATCAATTATCATCATCATCATCATCATCATCATCATCATCATCATCATCATGAAGCCTTAACACGATACTAATATTTATAAAAGTGATAACAGAAGTTAAACTAATCTACTCCTCCTTCGCTGCTTCCTCTGCTTTCCCACGTTCCTTCTCCCCCTCCGCCTTCTCATCACCCCCTTCTGCTTTATCTCCTCCTTCATCCCCCTCCTTACTCTCTTCCTTCCCTGCTCCTTCTCCCTCATCTTTTTCTTTTTCTTCTACTGCGGACTTTTCTCCCCCCTCTTCTCCCCCCTCTTTAGCTGGTTCATCCTTTTCGGATTCTTCCTTTTCAGCAGCGTCTGATTTCTCTTCTCCCTCTCCTGCGTCATCGTTCGCCGCCTCCTCCTCCGTCTCTGACTTATCTTCCCCCGCCGCTTCGTCCTTGTCCTTCTCTTCCGCCTTGTCTTCACTTTCTCCTTCCTCTGCACCATCTTCAGCACTCTTCTCCCCATCTTCTACTCCTGCTTCTTCCTCCTTACTCTCCTCTCCTGCATTGTCTTTCGAGTCTTCGCCATCTGCTGCATCAGCAGCTAAAACAAATAATATTTGTTACGTTGCCGAAGAAGGAAAGAGATAATAATTAACAAATAGGCAAAGGGTGAAAACCATAGATTCATAATATGAAATCCCTCAAATCTTTATAAATATCAATAAGTCAATGTCAATCGCTTCCTGAACCCGAAAATCTGCAATCAAGTTAATTTGAACACTAAACATACGAATTAAACACTTCGAGAAGCTTTTTCCATACCGCCTTCATCATCAGCTTCCTCGCCTCCTTCAGCCTTGTCTCCTTCATCCCCTCCTTCACCTTCCTTGTCTCCTGCTTCTGTAATGACAATGAAAACAAAGAAAACGGATATCCTTAATGTAATAGAGAAAACGAACTAAATTTATAGGTAACTGCAACTTTTATTTCGTTTGTCTATGATTTGGTTAATTTATTGATAGAAATGCCACCTTACTCTGATAAACATTAAAATATCATAAAATAACTCTTACTGATATAATAAAATGTCGTATCTCAGTTCATGTTCATATTTACAAGATTCAGGTATCATCTTACGCTAACATATTTAAAGTATCACGGGTGTCATTTTCTACTCGTATATACTGTAGTTTGTAAGAAAAAATTTCATGATAATTAAGAGAGAGAGAGAAATATTTTCCAGTTAAAGTAAAGATAAATGAAACCTAATAGGAGAAAACAAGTGAGAAAGATGAAAAAAGATAAAGAGGAAAATAGAGAGCCTGATTGATAAAAAGATATAGAGAGGGATATAGACGTAAATAAACAAGTGTCATATTTCCTCACCTTCTACTTCATTCTCTTTCGTCTCTTCCTCCTTCTTCTCTACCTCCTCCTCCGGATGGGCCTTAGTTTCTGTGGATAGAGGAACATGATAAAACACAGGGAAGGGCAACAGAGGGTAAAGTGAAGACATAAGAAACAATTGACAAGAACGAAAAAATATTTTTTTTTTTAACTAAGACCTCCTAGCAATGGTCATAGCTAGGTATGGCCATTCAGCACTGGCCACAGCTAGGTATGGCCACTCAGCATTGAACACAACTAGGCATGCCCACCCAGTGTGCGAGAGGCTTAACCTTATCCCAAGAGACTGAGTGGCAGCACGACCAATCACACACACACACACACACACACACACACACACACACACACACACACACACACACAGTTTTTATAATAATAATAATAATGATAATAATAATAATAAAACAACAAAGATGCTTTACAACTGAGAACTGTCTATATACCACACACTGGATATCAACTACGAGCTCACGGGACACAACAGCCATAGCTATCAGAGGCAGAAAACTGTTTGAGTTAAAGAGACTCACTAGTTTTTGACAAGAAACAGGTGGGACATTACTGAGTCTGTGTTGACACCTAATATAGTGACGTATCTAAGATGTACCCTATAGTTACCGTGTGAATTTGTTGGGACATAATACTGAGGACATCGATCCGTTTAGGATTTCATTAGAGCTGAAAGGAAAGTGATATAATGTCCCAATTGAGACATTAATCTTAATAAGGTATGATGACAAGGGCTAAAACGTGCGTTAATATTTATTTGATAAATGGTTGTGTTACGTAAAGGAGATCAGCAGTCAGTCATGAGTGTCGCGAAGAGAGTGAGTGAATGACGTGAGTCGTGTTTATGAATGAAGTATACAGTGAGTGGCAGAAAGTCGTGTGAGCGTCGATTACTTTAGCACTGTTCTGCCACATTTTGAGACATTGATTCCCTTGTCGCTGCTCGAGTATGTGTGTGTGTGTGCAAGATATGCGGCGAGTGTGTTGTGGTGATCAGTTAGAAGCATTTATTATCTTATCCAGATTTACGATCTTCCAAATCTTGTTATGAAGCAAAATAATAATAATAATAATAATAATAATAATAATAATAATAATAATAATAATAATAATAATAATAATAATAATAATAATAAAATAATAATAATAATAGTAATAATAATAATAATAATAATAATAATAATAATAATAATAATAATAATAATAATAATAATCATAGGGAAGCATAATGTGTTGTCTAATGGTAGACCCTGCTGCCATATGGCATCACGAAAATTGTGGCCAAGTCCCGGGTTGCTGATCTGACTTTTTGCCTCATTTACACACAATTGCAGGGTCTCAATTGTTTTTCTTGCTTTTACAACACAACATACATATATCGTTTCTCACTATTGATTTTTTCGTATTTATTATTATTATTAGTAGTAGTAGGAGTAGGAGTAGTAGTAGTAGTAGTAGTAGTAGTTGTAGTAGTAGTAGTAGTTGTAGTAGTAGTAGTATATATTTTTATTTAATATTCATTATATTTTTTATTATTTTTCACTTATTATTATTATTATTATTATTTTTATTATTATTATTATTATTATTATTATTATTATGTTTTCGCCCCCATGCCCTGATGTTGTCTTTGACCTGTGCTCTGGTGAGCTAATCCCGTAAACAAATATAAATAACATTCTCATCCCTCTCTCCCTTCCTCTCTTGCGTCCACCCGTCTGTCTATATTTAGGTATACCCGTTCTTCCAAACAACTGGCCATCGGGCCAAAGCGAAATTTGTTTCAAGAGGTGCGGGTCATGGGAAGATTATTGTATTCACGTCACGCACGGGAAGCGCCTGAATGAACTGTCGCACGTGAGGAGTAGGGGAATGTTGTACTTATGAGGACATCTTGTCGAATCATATGTTGATATCGTGGTGGTTGATGTGTCAAGTGATTCCCTTGTTCTTGAAGGCCTACGACGGATCTCTTAACTGATGATGGCGTGTGTGAGAGAATCTTCAAAATTAATACGCCTACACACAACCACACATACTTACTTAAACACCCGCGAACCAACAAAAAAAGTTAAACTTACACACACACACACACACACACACACACACACACACACACACACACACACACACACACACACTATGAAACTTTTAAAAACAAAACTACCTCAAACATACCCACCCGAACAGTGTCATCTGCAAGCAACATCTGACTCCTCTCACCCCCCTCCCCACTCTCCCCATTAAAATTCACGCCAGGCAGAATGAGATGGAGTGAGGGGGGAGGTCATGGGAGTTAGGAGGTGAGGGGAAGAAGGGGAGATAGGGAGGAGAGAAGGTCGGGGTTCGAGAATTACTCTTAAAACAGTAATTGCGATTCACTAGGTTCAGTTCATTAGGTTCTCCCTGCCAGTGAATGGAAGAGTAGCATTCTCACCCTTGTGGCCAGGGAGAAGGAGGACGAAAGTCTGCACGTCTGAGGGAGAAATTACAGGGGTCATAAAAGTGCCATCCGTCTGCATTCAGGTTCCACCCAGCCACCTGCACCCTGATGAAAGGGAGAAGGAGGGTAAAGGAGGAAGGGAGAGAGAATAAATAAAAATAGAGAAAGAGAGAGAGAAGAGACATAAAAATACAACAAAGAGAGAGGAAATAATAAGTGAGAGAGAGAGAAAATATATGAGAGAGAGAAACAATATGACAGAGAGGGGGGACTAAGAGAAAATGAAAGAGAGAGAAACAATGGGAAAGTGAGGGAGAGAATGCACTCCAGCCCACCAGACACAACGAGTTAGGACCATGGTCTCTCTACTGCTTTGTGTCGTGTTACGTGCATGGTTGAGTGAGGGGTAGGGGGACGTGTGGGGTGAGGGGGGGGTGAGGGGGCAGGGCGTGAGGGGTGAGGGGCGTGAGGGGTGAGGGCGTGAGGGCGTGAGGGGGGGCGTGAGGGGTGAGGGGTTGTGAGGAGTGAGGTGGCGTGAGGAGTGAGGTGGCGTGAGGAGTGAGGTAGCATTAGGATGACGGGCGTGAAGGTTGAGACGATGTAAAATGTGAGGGGCGAGGGGAGAAAGGATGTTGATGGTGATAATGGATGGGAGAAAGTAGAGAAAGGGCAGGAGAATGGAGAGATGGGGAGAAATTAGAGAGATGGGGAGAGAAACTAAGGTCGATTCGAGTTTACTCAGGTAAGGTGGACATGTTGAGAGAGAGAGAGAGAGAGAGAGAGAGTGTGTATGTGTGTGTGTGTGTGTGTGTCAGAGGTGGGTGATAGCAGAGAGAGAGAGAGAGAGAGAGAGAGTGAGAGAGACATCCAGGAAGCAGCGGTGTGTGTACGACTATACAACAACAATAACAACATCAACAACTAGAGTTAAGGTCATTTATGATCTTAGAATTTTGTGGATCTAAATAAAAAAATCTCAAAACATCGTAGGAAAAATTTTTCTCTTCGATGAAGGAGACATCGGGGAGACGTTTGTATCCTTCTCTCTCTCTCACTCAAGCTACGACACTCACACAAGACGACCAATATAGCGTCTCAACAGCACTAAGACTTTACTCATAATCAAATACATTTGTCGTATTCACAGCAACAGAGTAGTAATAATCTTACGATCATTTTAGACTGCGTGAATTGATCCCTTTCGACCCGACCAAGACGAATAAAGAAAACAAACAAAATGGTGTGTATTGCACCGACACTCTACCGTATCCTAACGTTACCTAACCTAAACTAACCTAACCTAACCTTACGATCCTATCATCCTAGAAGTGTTAGTACCCCGCTAACAATGACAAACCACCGCCGTAAGTGTGATAATTAAGGCGGGTAATTATAGGGGACGACAAGAGTAATTTACCTCGTTATTTAATTATATCAGAGTTAAGCAGAGGGAATTTTATTCAGGAAAATTGTTCTACTGATCGTATTAATTACTAAATGGTTATCTAATTATCAACCAACCCGATTAATTATCACCCAAGTAGATTCATTATCAATACCTTCAAATCTAACAAGAGTTAATCACCAGCCGTATAATATAATTAATCACCTATATAATAATTAATTAACTATATAACTATTAACAAGCCGTATAATTTATTACAGAGTCAAGTAAGTGTGTGTGAGTGTGTGTGTGTGTGTTGTGTGTGTGTGTGTGTAAATATAATTCTCAAAAGTGTAGCTCGACAATACTCCTTTCTGAGATAAATGAATTTTCCTGGAACAAGTAAGTGGACATTTTTGTGTGTTATCTCTCTCTCTCTCTCTCTCTCTCTCTCTCTCTCTCTCTCTCAACATCACAACACGCCTACAAACAACCACATGATATGATTACCCACAATGCACACACTTTGCAAGTTAACCTTCAAAGTGTCACCAATCTCACTTATGGTCACTTAAATGAGGCCGTGTGTGTGTGTGTGTGTGTGTGTGTGTGTGTGTGCGTGCGTGCGTGCGTGCGTGCGTGGTGTGTGTGTGTGTGTGTATGTCATAAGCACATTAAGCCACAGAAAACTATATTTTAGGGGTGACCTTGACATTATCCAGTTGTGTGTGACGCTTGATCTACGTAAACAAATTCTGCCAACAATACTTGCAAAAGAAAGCTACACTTATTTACATGATATCTTAACAATTTACACTAAGTTGTTTGATATTACTATAAATTTATACTTATTTATAATATATACTCGTATTGACATTTTTCATTTATTTACATTATATTTTAACAAGGTACAGTGATTTACTTTGGTTTACGTGATATATTACTATTATTCAATGTCTCTTTGGTCCTTTGAGTCTTTAGTTTGGTGTTAATAAAAGGTTTAGGTTGTTCGTATGTATGGCAGTGTGGTTGTTCTGAGAGCGAGTCTGTTGTGTTGGTGCCGGCAGTATGAGAGAAAGTGTCGTACCAAGTTAGCATGGATGTTTTCTTATAGATTCTCTCTCTCTTTTATCACCCTGTATAAATTTTCATTTCCTCTCCTCCGGCTCTTCTCTTTCCCTTCTTTTCCCCTCTTCCTTCTTCCCTAATTGT